TTTTTTTTTTTTTTCTGGTATGCGGGCCTTTCACTGTTTTGGCCTCTCCCGTTGCGGAGCACAGGCTCCGGACGCGCAGGCTCAGCGGCCATTGCTCACGGGCCCAGCCGCTCCGCGGCATGTGGGATCTTCCCAGACCGGGGCAAGAACCCGTGTCCCCCGCATTGGCAGGCGGACTCTCAAACACTGCGCCACCAGGGAAGCCCAGGAATCATTTTTTAATCAGTTAGTTGTAACAGCTAGGAAGACACCTGTTGAGAATGAAATGTCCGAGTGAGGACAGGAACCATAATGGAACTCGCCTTAAAAGATGGGTCTACATCAAATATTTCCTAAATTCCCGTCTCAAGATACTGCAGTTGATGCTCTGGTTGTGGTGCTGCCACTTATCTCTCATGATGTACCAGGGTATTGGATCTTACTCTGTGCATAAATCTAGGGATGTGCCTAGATTACTCTGTGGGTGGGTGGGTGTACATTTGGAAAGGGGGCAGTACACTGAGCCAGCAAAATGGTATTTCTATTTCCTTTCAACTACTGAGATAATTGTAGATTCACATGTTATCTTAGTTTGGGCTGCTATAACAGAATATCATGGGTGGCTTAAACAGTAAACTTATTTCTCATTTAAAAAAAAGATGGGTCTATATGCATCTGTGTTAGTGTATTTTGGTGTATTTTTTTTCCTTTTGGTCTCAAAGTAAACATAAAAGTATCCCATCTATTAGAGAACAAAAAGAACAAAATAACTAAAATATTAGCCATTGCAGGTTAAGATTGCTTTGGAAATTCGGGGTCTTTTGTGGTTCCATATAAATTTTAGGATTATTTGTTCTCGTTCTATGAAAAATGTCATTGGCATTTTGATAGGGTTTGCATCAAATCTGTATATTGCTTTTTGTGTAGTATGGACATTTTTACAATATTAGTTTTCCCAGTTCAAGAACATGGGGTATCTTTCCATTTCTTTGTATCATTTTCATATTGCTTTATCAGTGTTTTATAGTTTTCAGAGTATAGGTCTTTCACCTCCTTGGTTAAAGAGTATAGGTCTTTCACCTCCTTGGTTATTCCTAGGTATTTTATTCTTTTTGATGCAATTTTAAACAGGATTGTTTTCTTGCTTTCTCTTTCTGATAGTTCATTATTAGTGCATAGAAAAGCAACAGATTTCTGTGTATTAATACTGTATCCTGCAACTTTACTAAACTGATTTATTAGTTCTAATAGTTTTTTGGTGGAGATTTCAGGGTTCATTACAGTCTCATTACAATGTGAAAAACAAGAGCTAAACAGTTAAGAATCACTCCCACTCAGTAAATCAGTCATCCAGCCATTGTAATCTAGTTAAATAGATTAGAGTCAGGTGAGCTGAATTGAGTGCCAGCAGTGGGACACATGAACAAAAGTTACAAAACCATTCTGCAAACAGTTGGACCCTGAAACCCTGGTTTTGATTAACTTCTGGGCCAGAATCCAGCTTGACAGATCACATGGCTTTCCATATGACAGTGAGTAAAACCCACCAACCTTCAAGGGATACAGGGCAAGAAGCAAAGCCAGTGTCAGTTATGAAGGAATAAGCGAAACTCCTTAGTTCAGCTCTTTTCTCTCTTACTGTAAAGTTAAGGGCTGAAATTATTTAAGAATGTTAGAATGGGGAAGAGGAATGTGTGTAATACCCACATACCTGCACACCCATGTGCACATGTGCACATCATTCTTCTTGGATTATGTAGGAGTCAAAAAAATTCAAAGTAGCTGCAAAAGATTTTGCCGCTTCTTTGAGAAATTTGTTTCAGAGCTTTTCTTCTCTGTGGAATTCATAAGAGATGATGGTTCTTCAAAGTGTGTTAATGTTCTCAGTCTTCTTTCTGGCCTTGGTTGCCCCTCAGAAAGAGCAGGTTTATTGCTCAACTGATGAAGTTAGGGACCAGGGACACTCCCTTGCCAGAGACCCTCCCAGGACCCTGGGAAGGACCACAGCAATTTTTAATTTGTGATTTTGTGTCATTTTATTTTGTTTTTATTGAAAGAGCCCTCTACCTTCACCCTTTGACCCAACTCGAGAGAGGTTATGACTTAAATTATGGGAGATATCGTGGAGATAATCTCCCATAGAAAAACAAAGTAAAATCCTCTTTTGCAACATCTGAAAGGACAACACGATTTCAATTCTTGTCCTTATTCTACAAGCTCCAGGTGAAATGTGGAATTTCAAGTGAATTCCAGAATCAAATGTATACATGGTGGGTGATTTTGAAAATTATGATGCTTCTTGAAGGAAATTCTTACTTGTAAAGCAAAGAAGTAACTACAAATAAGTCTATTGAGTCAAACTCAAAGGGTTTGCTGAAATAATGCCTGGTGGCTTTGAAATCTGTCCGACAGTGTCCATATCGTTTAATTCATTTTAGTTATCTTTATTACCCTCCTCACTATGTCATTGGAATAGGCAAATTTCTTAACTTAAAAACATTATAGATATAAATCCTCTTTACATTTTGTATGCTATTAATTAAAATTCCATTAAAAAGAAACAAATGTGACAAAGTAGAATTAATTTACTTGTAAATTTACTTTTTTACTCTGAAAGTAATGGTATATTAATAACATTTAGAAAACAGATTTTAAAAGGCCTGTAATACATTAAAATAATAAATTTAAATATATTCCTTTTCAGTCTTTTGTTCCTGATTTTTTTACCCAATTCTGCTTCTTGCTCACTATGTGAACATGTGTAAATCATTTGATGTCTCTAAGGCTTAAGTTTCTTGCTCTGGGATGCCTTTCTTAAAAGGTTGTTATGAAGACCAAAGAGAGGATGTACATGAAAGTGTTTTGGCAATTGTAGAACAGAATATAGATACAATGTAGTCCTGGATGTTGGTTGAAAGTGGTCCCCCAAATTCTAATCCACACAGGAGGAATTACCTTAAGGGATGTACATGACTTCTGATTCAGTTAATGTGGCTTAAGACAGCCTAGGTTTGCTTGGAACAATTCCAAGATGACTGAGCCTCCCCCAAATGCTCCCTTCCAGTAACACACATAAACTACAACTTGGATCCTAGTTTAGACTCATGATCTAGGATTAGATGAATTCCACCACAGAGGAAGTCAGAATTCAAAGGTAATTAAAGTGTGCCGTGCCTTTTCTCTATGTAAATGATGATATACATTTGCTAAAAGGAGGGTGGGATTTTCATTAACTTTCTGAAATGATACATTTTATACACTGTTATTGTAACTATGTAAAATAAACTGGTATATAATTCTTCGGTAACTAGGCACAGATAATTTATGAACTCTATTTTTTGCGTAGATCTATTCCTTTTATTTTAGAAGTGATTGTGGTTTGGTCAGATATAACAATTACAAACCTAAAATGTAATTATGCTAAACACATACTTATTATTTTAACTTCTTGTCTGTGTAACAATATATTTTTATTCTCTATTGGTTTTATGTCTATATCTGAATTAAAAGAAAAACTTTATATGAAATAATATTTTCAATTCTCTTATTTCAGATTTGGATGAATTAATTTGTGCATTGATAACCGCTAAGTTTATGGATATATGCACTACATCCTCATATTCTCAGTTTTCTGAGGAATGGCTATTTAATATGTTTTAACACTATTTTCTTTCCCTTATTTCAGCAACAACTAAAAAAGATGAAAAAAAGGAAGGTATGTTTTATGCAAAGTTCCACTATGCTTTTTGTGTGAACAATTTACCAATAATCAGAGTTGAATTTTGACTGCCAGCTTGTCTGTGTTTACTTGGGATCTATTATGTGCATACATTTTGTGTGAATGTGTTTTTTCTAGAACATCACACTAAAGGGTGAACTACTTTTTAAAAAAGTAATTTTAATCTAATCTTTCTTAATATACAGGGGGTAAAACACAACCTCTCAAAATCCCGGGCCTCCTATTTCATTAGCAATTTTATCAAAGTTCAAAAATACATAAAATACAGACCAATTTTCTCACATTGACTACTTATATCTCTGACACTGACAAGCAACTGATGTTATTTTGTTCTATTATGTTGAAAATAAATCATAGTCCATCACTTGCACTCCACCTCCCTTTGTCAGGATGTCTTGATACGGAGTCATTTATTCCCTGCTGTCAAAAAGAGACTGCACCTGATGGACTCATACAGGCAAGAGAGACTTTATTCAAGACTCTTGCAATAGGGGTCAAGTCTGTTTACAATAGGAGAAATTGAACTCAACTCCGCTGAAACAAAAATGAGAGTTTTAAAGTTCTGGTGTGAGCTCGTAGAAAAGCACTGGAGGATGTTGGTGGGTTTGGGGTGGGAGCTGGTCAATGTGATGAGGCCATCTGGGTTTTTTAATTTCCTATGAAATTAGCCTCCTACCCTTCCACAGAGACTGGGATATAGGACTGCTATCTCCTTTGATGATTATGTTTCAAAGTGATGTCTTGCAGATCTTGAGAAAGATATTTCTGGTTGTAGAAGATTTATGTTTCAAAGGGACAGGGAAAGAATTTACAACTGCAAGTTTTCTAAAGTAAATGCTCTGCTAAAAGGGTGGTCAGGGGCCTATAGTCAAGAAGAAAACTGTCTAAACTTTATTCAAGTTGTTGGGAATGTTAAGGCCTTCTAAGTCACTGTGACTCTATTTAGAGATGTTTCTAATGCACAGCCTGACTACTCTTAGATAGGGTCTCTAGCTATCACTACTGTTTATTAATCTAGGCTTATTTTCTCAGTAAAAATGGCATGTAGATATAAGCAATCACTTATGACTTTGAAAATGACATTTATATTCTAAATTAGTGTTCATATAATCTGAGAAAAAATAAGAAAACAAGTGTTATATTTTATATTTAGTATCATCAGAATTTTACATAGTCCTGATAGCTTGGGAGTCACATTCTGCTTCTGTTAAACAAGAATCTAAGAGTCAATAGATCTGAGAAGGAGGAAATATTTTAGTTAGTTATTACTTACCTAGGAGAAAAAAACATAGTATCATAAAAGTCAAGTAATACATATCACTGTGTTTATTATAAAGGCATAAATATCAGTATTAATTCCCCATATACACATAGCAAATATTTCAGTGCATTTTGGAAATTACATCATTTATATGATCAACATTGTGGTGTGTATACAGAGACCTTACAAGAAAAAAGAGATAGTAAGTTCCTGACACAGCTTTTGACAGATAGTAAGTGCTCAAAGATGTTTCTCTTCCCTCCATCCTTCCTTCTTCTGAATAAAGAACAATTTACCATTTGATTTAGGTAAAGGAGTAATATGAACAGTTATTTTTCCACTCATTGGCATTCAAACCACAGTATTAGAAGACTTTGGGGTATATGAAACAGTAGTCAAATTACAATTCACAGCTCTAAGCTTTATAAGTATTTTTTCCCCCCTCATTGCTATGCTTGGTTCTGTTTTTCCTGAATTATGTGGCTTTTTTCACTTCTCTGAAAAATTGTCCATATGCGATGGACAATTTTTGGAAGAGCCTGGGAAGCCCAAGCAGAGCTTTGCCCTTGGAGACTCAAGTAATCCAGTGTACATCACCAGCTGTGAAATATATAAAACATATACTCCTGACTATTTCTTAATATTAACATCACTATCATCATCATTTTTTTTAAATTGTCATTTCCAAAGGGTTTCATAGATTATCTCTCATCTCTTGTTTGGAAAACTTTTTTTTTTTTTTTTTTTTGTGATACGCGGGCCTCTCACTGTCGTGGCCTCTCCCGTTGCGGAGCACAGGCTCTGGACACGCAGGCTCAGCGGCCATGGCTCACAGGCCCAGCCACTCCATGCCATGTGGGATCTTCCTGGACCGGGGCACGAACCTATGTCCCCTGCATCGGCAGGCGGACTCTCAACCACTGCACCACCAGGGAAGCCCTGGAAAACTTTTTAAATTGGTAAGATGATGATATTTAAGATAAAAACTATTCAGCGTAACTTTCATTGCTCTCAATGTATAGTAGGAGAATAGGCTTAATGGCCAGCTATTCTAGGCAGTGGCTTGATTTTACATTTCACGAGTTCGTATTTCCCTCTCTGTATCTTCTGTTAAGCAAAGCAGAGGAGGTATATGGACTTAAGCTTCTTGGCTCTTGTTTCTTATTTTCAATCATCTCGGTAAAGATTATAGAAATCTTTTCCGTAGAGGCAGGAAGCACATTTTTCCTCAAATGAGGCAAGTTTAATACAAATCATCAGGTGGCATACAATTTGGATCTTCAGTATTTTATTTTACACAAAGTTTATTCACGTTCAACCTTTTTGGATATAGTCAAAGATACTAAAGGTTGACAAGTTTCCTGAAAAAAAAAAGAGAATAAGGGGGGTTTCAGGGATTTAATTAGAATGCTCTTGAGAAGTTTTTGTGGTGAATTTTAAAACACAGAAATAAAAGTGCATATGAACTTCTTTATGATAAGCAGGCATCAGGCCACAAAGAGCTTCTTGCATTAGTGAACTCTGAAGATTTGCTGTTCATATTAAGATCTTATTACAGCATGTCTCATCAAATCTCTTTCACAAAACTTATCAAGAGAGTCCCTTGGCTCCATTGAGCTTTGCCCATCAAGTTTACTGTTGTTAGCAGTTTTGGTGTCAAAGCAAGCATATCTTAGCCTAAGTAGAGTAACGTTTCTGAATAAATGTTCAGCTGAGGTCCTTCTGTGACAAGACATTTTCTACTGAAGTTGCCATTCTTTCTCCCTCGGCAGACACTTTCCTTGTGATTTATTAACACACATTCCTACTGTCCATCAGGTTCCCAAAGTCAAAGTCCTAATCAAATTATATTTTTCTTTATAAACATATGCTTATTCCTTTATTTCTTCTTATAGAGTCATCCCATTCTCTTTGCAGACACCAGGACTCAAATTGTAGTGTAAACTTTGACTCCTGTTTTTCCTTTGCCACTAAAATTTAGTCCTCCAGAATTTTTAATTTGACTAAACTCTCTTTTCTAATCCATCCTAAAGTAATTAGAAAAGCTAATCTTCACTCACAGCCTCCATTCCTTCAGTTGCGACCTCACATCCTCATTTGTGACCTCATGTTGGTCTTACTAACCTTTTGCGTGAACCAGGGAAACGGTCTTGAAAATCAGAGGTTCTCAAGATGTGGTCAAGGACTACTGGAAGTACCTGAGGCCTTTTCAGTGGTTCTGCAAGATCAAAACTATATTGATAAAAATACGGATTTATCATTTCCTTCTCACTCTCATTCTCTTATGAGTGTGCACTAGAGTTTTCCAGAAGCTACATAGTGTGTGATATTGCAACAGAATGAATGCTTAAGGAGATATGCGAATCCAACTATCTTTGCCAGACATTAAGGAGATTCACAAAAGTGTAAAACAAAGTCCTTCATCTCATCATTTTTTTGGTATTGGAAAATATATTTGTCATAAAAAGTATATTTATGGTAACAGGTAACAGGTTTTAAATTTTTTAATTAATAAATATATATTTATATATTTAAAAATATTATCAGCTTTATTTTTTTAAATTATAAATGTCGTAGATAGAATAAAAGCTGTTTGGGGTCCTTTACAATTGTTAAGATTTTTAAAGGAGTCCTGAGATAACAAAGTTTGAGTATCTCTGACCTAAATAATCATTCTGCCGGTAATGTTTTCCCTAAATATTTTCTTCCAAAATACTGAACTGACTTCATGAAACACTTTATGTCATTACCTATTTAAAATAGTCAGTGGCACCACACTGACCACAGAACATAGTCTACAAGCCTTAACCTGTAATTTAAGTCCCCACAGAGTGTTTCCTAACCTCCTGTCAATCACATATCAAGGCAAAGTCAAAGCCAAGGACTGACAAATTCCACCAGTAAAAATACAATAATCTCTTTTGAGATTGAGACAATTTATTACTTTCATGGCCAGCAAAAGCAAGGGTATCTAAAGGTGCCAGCTCTTCATTGTCCTTGTCCCACACACCAAAAATTCAACACACCAGATAATTCAACACAAGTTAGGGACAGCTTTTTGCTGAGGACTCAAATCTGGACTACAGCCAGTGGTCTGCAGGTCTGTTCTCAAAGGGTTCTAGGCAGGAGAACCCAGGAGGTGATGAGAAGTTGTCTTATGACAACCTCCAGGAGAGACAGAGAGGCATGTGGAAGATGACCTCATAGAAAGTCCTCATAGGCCTCCCATCCCCTTACGTTCTAGAAGGATCACAGGACATCCTGCCAGACTCAGAATTAGCTGTGGTTCAGATCTTTGCCTGAATGGCATATATGGCTAGTGCAAAGCCACCAGGGCACCGTGGTGGAACCTGTACCCTACTCTCCCACCCAGTTTCTTCCTTTATATATTATGTGTTTCATCCATACTAAGTCACTTTCAATTTTACATATACAATGTGCTGTCTAGCCATTGTTCCTGCTATTATCATAATAGATCTTACCCTTTCCTTTTCCTTCTATGAATACTCAGTGTTCTTAGGGCTCAAGATAAATTCTCTTCCCTCTAGGACAAGGGTCCCCAACCCCCCGGGGAACCAGGCCGCACAGCAGGACATGAGCGGCGGGCGGGCGAGCGAGGGAAGCTTCATCTGCCCCTCTCCATTGCTCCCCACCACTCCCCATTACTTGCATTACCGCCTGAGCCATCCCCCACCCACCTTGTCTGTGGAAAAATTGTCTTCCACGAAACCCGTCCCTGGTGCCAAAAAGGTTGGGGACCACTGGTCTAGGATGTCTGTCTGAACCTCCCAATTAAGTATTTTTTCTCAGGGCTTCCCTGGTGGCGCAGTGATTGAGAGTCTGCCTGCCGATGCAGGGGACACGGGTTCGTGCCCCGGTCCGGGAGGATCCCACATGCCGCGGAGTAGTCTGGGCCCGTGAGCCATGGCCGCTGAGCCTGCGCGTCTGGAGCCTGTGCTCTGTAACGGGAGAGGCCACAACAGTGAGAGGCCCGCATACTGCAAAAAAAAAAAAAAAAAAAAAAAAATTTCTCTTTCATTTATAATCTCCCTTCAGAGTTTTTGTGTACTTCCTTAGTATTGTTTATTTCATGCCCCTTGTACTTCATATTGCTTGCATCATTTTCCTTCTATTCTACTTGACTTTAAGACTTTTGACTATAAAGGTTTAAGACTTTAAGACTTTTGACTAAAGACTAACTTTTTGTCTAATTCACTTTTATCCGCTACAGGAACTAACACATTTCCTTAGTTTGTACATTGCTCAACAAATGTTTATTCTGTGAATGAATCAGTAATATCTAGGACTCTTAAGATAAATATTATAGCCACGAGAAGTAAGAGTAGGCACTCAAATTTTCATATCCCAGGCAAGAAAGGATTTTTTTTTTTCAAATTGGGAGTTGTATTATAGTGAGCTTTTTAGGTCTGGGAATTTATAGTCAATTACTAACAATTTTATCTTAAGTGTATATGATCGTTAGCTGCTACTTGAGTTGCACTAGCAGATCTAGGTAGATCTCATTCAACTAACCTCAGCTTTGTTGATGAAATCCTAGGGGTTGGAAAGCCTATGGGTTTTTTTTTTATAAACTTATTTATTTTATTTATTTATATTTGGCTGCATTGGGTCTTCGTTCCTGCACCTGGGCTTTCTCTAGTTGTGGCGAGTGGGGCCTACTCTTCATTGCCGTGTGTGGGTTTCTCATTGCGGTGGCTTCTCTTGTTGCGGAGCACGGGCTCTAGGCACATGGCCTTCAGTAGTTGTGGCTCGTGGGCTCTAGAGCTCAGGCTCAGTAGTTGTGGTGCATGGGCTTAGTTGCTCTGTGGCATGTGGAATCTTCCTGGACCAGGGATTGAACGCATGTCCCCTGCATTGACAGGTGGATTCTTAACCACTGCACCACCAGGGAAGTCCTCAAGCCTGTGGGTTTTTCAGCACAGGTTATCTTCTGAAGGATACAGCTCCATTGAGAACTAGCCAGATGAGATTTATTATTTACTATAACTAGGGCAAGGCCAAGTAGAGTTGAATGCATGTGAGAATTAGTCCTAAATTCTAGGACTTCATCATTGAGATCTGAAGAGGAATCATGCTGAAAAACAATGCAAAATTTCTGTTGTAATTGAATAAGGATGCCAATTGGCAAGTGACACACACACACACACACAAACACACACACACACGGCATACTTCATTACCTGATTTATTAGACTATCAGAGAGTTAATTTTTCCCTTCAATATGAATTGGTATTTCATTTTCCTCTGGCATCATTCATGAACATAATAGACCATACCTGATACATCGCTAAAGTTGAGTGAGTGATGAATTGAACAGATTGCAAACACATCACTGCTTTTCAATCAGCTGCTGTTGGTCTCGATGTTCTTAATAGAAGACTGTTGTTCAGATTATTGGGCAGATGGCCTTTAGGGAGGTACATTCACCAAGTAAGCCTTTATAATATTTTTAAGCCATTTCAGCAGAGTGCTGGGAGCGTGTAATGAAGTTTAATAGCATGAGTATTAAGTGCTGGGACTAATAGCTCTTTAGGGTCAGTATGTGATCTTTCAATTTTAAGCATTATATTTTTTGGTTTCTCAGGTATGTACTTGTGTAAGTCTGCTGCTCTGTTGACTCCTAACCAAAAGACGTGAAATTATGATGACATTTTAAGTACATTTCACTACAGCTCCCAGTTCTTACAGCAAATATATTGAACTTTAAAGACCTGCTTGATTAGATCATGACTTATTTTTTTTACATTTCTACTTTATGAAATACTTTTCTTTATCTCAGTAAGTGATGTACTTTACCTGACCCTGGACTTCATATTATTTTTATTCTTTAATTACAGAACAATGGATATCTAATACAATATCAATTCTTATTACCAGGGAAAAGAAAAACAGATTAAAAACAACAGGCATTCCAGACTTACATATATTGTATTAAGCTTTTTGCCCCTACCCCATGCCAGCATCTAGTTGAAAAATAGGGGGGCTGGAAATAATCTTGTCCTAATATGCCACATTTTAGCCTCTGTTTGTTCAAACATTCTTCCCAAGCGTTACCTTCAGTTGTATTTCAACTGTAGGTGCCCACCATAATATTTCTGTGTTTTGCATATTGGCTGTACTCTGGGCTCAAAAGATTGCTCAACAAGGATCACAGAACCTCTTGGACAGGCAGAAATCCTATCCCAGTATACTGCAGCCAAACTAATTGATAAGTCATGCTAGCCATTGAACTATCCACTTCATACTTTCATCTGTTGTGGTAGGAGAATCTGTATCTCCAAAGGAGTGGCCACTGCATATTATTAATAAATAGCTAGACATATGAGTAAGATGATAGATGACATTTATCACATTCTTATATGGAATTGTTTTATATAATATTTTTCTAATATTTGAATTACCTGCTTACTAATTAGGATAATTACTCATCAAGGAAACAAATGAGAAATTGCTTGCAAAGCACATTTTTTTTAGATCATGAATTTGGTCCACTTCATTATAGTTCCTGATGAGAAAATGAATAGCAAGAAAAAGATTGGGTTTGGGGGGGTGGGGTGGCAGGTATTAAGAAAAATTTAGTCAAAAATTCTTTTTACTAAGGCATGCTGGACATAATAGTTTTTAATAAATGTTTACTCAATAAATAAGTGTTCTGTTTCAAGGATACATTATTTTAAAAAATAAGGTTTGTTTTTCTCTTAAACATGAAACAAAACCCAATTACAGAAAAAATAGAAAGAAGACATTGCAAAACATCATTTTAATGACTGTTTTTCTATTATGTGGATATACTGTGAATCCCATGAACAGTTCCTCTACTGTACGGAGGGTACTGGTTAATATTCCCCTTATTTAGAGGTATAAAACAATGTCACAAACAAAGCATCTTCGTATAAGTTTTTCTTATGACAGTTTTGCATGTTTCTCCTTGGAAATCTAGAAGTTGAACTACTGTGTCAAAAAGTATGCTCATTTTAATGACTTTCTAGATTTTTTTTCCCAAGTTGCTCTCCTAAAATGTGTTTTCAGCTTCTCCTTCTGTGGAAGTAGGTTATTACTTTCACTACACTATTACTGTTACTGATTATCATTTTCTCATAAAACAATTCAGTTGACCATCTAACTGCCTTTTGTGAACAGTCTCCTACTCACTGTCATCTTCAAACATTTTCGGTCCATTACTTCATTGTGGAACTATAATCATGATCCATCTACATCACTATAAGGCACAAAGATTCATTAACTTCCAGATTGTTAGTGAAGATCTATCACTCTAGGTTCTAATCCATATAATTGTCAGGCAGAGAAGAGTTTATCTTTTGCAAGTATAAATTCATAGTTCATTATTTTGATTCTAATTTCAGTAATATTCAGATAATTTCAAAACTAAGTTACAGAAGAGGTAAAAGAAAGAAAACAGAATATACAGAATGAAATATTCTAAGCAAATATTTAAGATGCCTCCATTCTAAAATAAACAAGTTAAAAAAACACTTGTTTTTAATTTCAAGTGATAGGAACAGAGAGTTTCATGGTATAAAAATACTGGAAATAATAAATTTCTCAGATATAGGCTGAACACCCAAAAGACTAAAAACTGAATAGATGGCTTTTGACCACTGAATGCATGTTACTACATAGCAGTTACTAAATAAATGATATGTTCATCAGTAACCCATGAGCCATCATCACCTGTTTCTTTTTCATTACAATATGAATAAGTTACTGTTTGTACTGGAAATGCATCAGTTATTCAAGGAGCGTACATTTCACCAGGATTGCTATAGATTGAACAAATGAAGAAATTGCCAACTAAATTCATGGATTCCAACCCATCTCTATAGAAACAGACAGTATATCTGCTCAGTTTGACATTTTATTAAAAGGTCATTAGCTGCTATAGACACAATGTAATTTCTATGCAAATTAGATGTGGATATTTTCCTTTGTATTTTTTCTATATTTTATACATCAAAAGTTTCTCACTTCTTGCATTAATCTAATACTCCTCCTCTCAAAAACAGAATAATTTAGCTTTAAGCCCCATATTCTAGAAATACAACGTACAATCAATCCATTTCATTGAAAATGATTTCAGAGTGTATGGACATTTTGTTGTGAGCTTATCAGTTGTTGATTTTTCTTATCTTCTTTGTCAGTAATTTATATTTGTATTTTCAGATTCCAAGAAAACAAAAACAACTGCAGAAGGTATTGGGAATATTTCCTTTTTCTGTCTTATATTTAATGAACCCCCAAGCAGCATTCCTTTTTAAAGGAGTCACACAAAAGAAAAAACTAAATATGGGATAAAAAAGAGACAGAGAAATATTGAGAAAGAAAGAAAAAGAGAGAGAGTCAAATCTTTCCTGACAATAATGCTATGAGAAATATTTGGCAGTAATAAAAATAAATACTGCCTATGTTTACCTTTCACAGTAATTATTTTCAAAGAAATGTTTGCTGGGCAAGAAATTGAACGATGTTCAGTAACAAGCATTTACTTTGCTAAAAAGCATAAATTTAATTAATCTTGGATATACCAGCATAGATGGAACTAAGTAGTTCCTTTAAGTCTTGAATAAAATCATAAATCATGTGGCAAGTATACCTGTGTCTTTTGTATTTGTTCATAAGGGTTTACGTGTATCGGGTGTTTATGTGTTCATATACATTTAAGAAGACTACAAGATATAAATCATTTTAAATAGTTAAACAGTATAATCCTAGGTTCATTGTCAAATAATGTTTTACAATTAACTTATGGAAACACCTATGATAATCAGCAATACCTCCGAGCAACACTGAGAAATTTAAGGGGAGAGAATGGGGGCAGGCGTAGGAAACGTTACAGTCTAATCAATGTGTTGAGGTAGTATACTTTATCTTTGAAAGTTTCATGAGCAATGGCTTTCTGTTTATATTTCTTTCAACAGAACTACCCAAGGGAAAAAGTAAGGAAAGGCATGCAAATTATATATTTTTTCTATTTACTGCTACTATTGGCCTGCTGAAATACCTAGACTTGGGGTTTTGAATCTCCCTTTTCTATGTTTTATGCATGTGAACTCTATTTTTTTTGTCAGAATGAAAGAATATACAACCTGGGGAGGGGGTGGTCAGAGTGGACTGAAAAGCATGGCACTCTGTCTTAGAGTCCGTTTTCAAATTCATGCAGTCATCTAATAACATTATCCACAGTCTTAACCAAAAAATATAACTTCATTCCATTAACCAAAACTGTATTATGTTAGTGGAAATTTAGTCTCTGTAATCTGGTTAGTTCTGTAGCTAGAATATAGAACAGAAGTTCTTTTTCAGGTTAGTTTTACAGTCTCTTTTCTGTTTTCTTTGTTCTTGTAATCCATAAATATTTTGGCATGTTCACATGATATATGACATTTTGTCCATAACAGTGTCCTTTTTCCCTACAAGCACTATGAGCTCTGTGAAACTGCATTGCTTGGGATGCATAACTTAGGCAGCATCCACTGTTGCTATAACATATTATTAAAGCTTGCTTGCTAACAATTCAGTAAAGCTTGATGCTTTGAGGTTGCGTCTTTTGCAAATGTATACTCTTCTCTGAAGAAAAACAAACAGAAACAAATAATATCAACTTAACCTTATTCAATTAGCCATTAAAAATCATTCCATTTCCAGGTATGCAGAGCTTTAAAAAATCCTAGTGAAATTAAAAACATGTTTTAAAATATATACCAATTAAAAAAAAAAGATTTACATGCGTTTCAGTCCTGCAAAGGTCAGGACATTGAGACCTTTTATGTCATAAAAGTGCTCTAAAATGTCCTATGGAGAGAATCATGAAGTTACACTACAACTCAGCCAAGGGGAGCAATCTGTCTATAGAGAACTATGTGATATTTCGATCCCAGATTTATGTGTGTGCACAGCTGCTGATGGGCACTGACACACTGATACAGAAACCACTCTATAAACCATTGCACCAGCAGGGAAATGGAGGACAACTGGAGATTTGAAAAATGGTATTTAAATAATATATACGTAACCTGAAGGCCCTTGCTTTATTACAGTCTATATGATTCAAAATTTCCCACAGACACACTGCAGCTCCTTGACAATCTTCGGAGTATTGATATATTTAATAAATAAACATGCCTTCCCAGGCATTCACTTAACATTCCAACTGCTTCCCTCCTTGGGAAGTTCTGTGGATTGACTTGGGCAGTAATAAGGACAAGAAAAGGAATTTTCCTCTAAACAACTACTAATTCTTTCCAAATTAACTTATTTGCTCTAGTTTATCATCTGGACCTGCTTTTGTTGTTCTTGTCGCATCTTTGAATTTGCTGGATTCAGTTGTTGTTTTTACTTTAAGATTGCTTTACTCAATTATACATCTCCAACCCTATATTCTTATTTTGCTTTTTCTTTTCTAGTTACCACAACTTAAAAGTTGGTTGTTTTTTGTTTTTTGTTTTTTTTGCAGTCTAAAACAAATCATGGTAGGGAAAACAGGGAGAAGAGAACATGTATATATGTATATATGTATACATGTACTCTTCCTGTATATACTTTTGCTAACTCTAGTGAGCTACAATTTTTTCCAAATAAAAAATAAAAATAAAAAAATCAATTATAAGTATGATTTGGCAGTCCCTGTAGATATAAGCATGAATTAATTTGTATTTATTAAGATAATTCAATAATTACATCTTGAATTATCCCATATAATAAATGGACTTGACAGCCTTTTCTTGCACATCATCCCAAATTAGCACGGGTATTTTTCTGCTTATACAATTACTTTCTGATATGATTGGAAGACCCTTATTTTAACTTTGAAATCTCACAGATAGTTGGTAATTGATTCTGATGCATACCCAAAGCTACTTCCAGTATTTTTTTGATTGTTATTACTTTACAAATTTCTTAGAAATGTTTTGATATTGGTGGTTCAGTTCAGCAATAAATTAAGCAATGCATTTAATTATTCCATGTTTTCCAGACAGTTTTTAATGTGCTTACCTGTGTTTAATTTTAGCTAAGTCTCGTATGCTTCTTACCTTTGACTTGTAACACTGGGTCAAGCCATTCGTTTTATTTGTTTTATTGCCTGCCTGCTATCTTGGGAGTGAATAAATTGCTCGTTATACCTTCACAAGTACAAGCGTGGTAAACAAAATTGTACACTTGAGAGACTGATGAGATAACCATAGGAAATTCGATGACACTCTATGTTTCTAAAATATAGTTCTTAGAATTATTTCAGCATAAACATCTTGTAGTCTCCAAAATATATTCATTAAATGAAACTTGAAGAAATCTCTTTATTTTTCTTTAAAAAATCAGATAATAATGTGTCTATGTTAAAGTATTTCTTGAAAATCATTTAAATTATTTGGACAAGTTGTCAAATTTTGCTTTTCAAGGCAAAATACGTAAGAATAGAAATGTAGAAAATAGCACTTCATATAAAATTAGTACCTACACTTCATATAAAATTAGTGTTTATTATAATACAAATGTCAGCTTAATTTTTTTTTTTTTTTTTTTTTTTTTGGGGGAAGGGGAGCCTCTCCCTGTTGTAGCCTCTCCTGTTGCGGAGCACAGGCTCCGGACGCGCAAGCCTAGCGGCCGTGGCTCAAGGGCCCAGCCGCTCCGCGGCATGTGGGATCTTCCCGGACCGGGGCACGAACCCGTGTCCCCTGCATCGGCAGGCGGACTCTCAACCACTGCGCCACCAGGGAAGCTCTGTCAGCTTAATTTTGAGGCCAGAATGATTCTTCATCTCATATAACATTGGCAAAAGTGTGTTCTTAAAAAGGAACACTATCTGAAAAATACTCTATACGGAGCATTTGTCCTAAAAACAAGGGAAGTGTGTTTTGCTTCCCCCTGAAAATTCTTAGTCTAGTTTTAGCGTCATAAATCTGCCTCAGCAAAGACTTTGTCTTAGCTAAACAAATACCTTTTCAATATAAGAAAATTTCACCTTAGAAGAGAAAGTCCAGAGGAAGTCTGTTCATCCTTATCTGAGAATTATTTTAAAACAGCTGTAATAATTATCCTTTATGCTTACTTTTTATCCCAAATTTATTTCATGTTGATCTAGTAAGAAAGGAAATTAAAATTTTTTCCATCCTTTATAGACCCTACTTTATCCTTCTAGTTTATTATCCATGAAAAATTTTAATTCCTCTAATATCCAGAAAATTTTTTATTGCTGTTCTGTGAGGGAAAACAGAGGAAGATTGTTAAAACTCTTTTTAAATATACGTCGGATATTAATCTTTTCATGACAGCTATTATTGGTGCAATACAGCACTAGACATATATGTTTCTTTGTGTTAGGACAATTAAGTTGTGACACATAAAATTGGAATAATAATAACAAAAATAATATGTTTCAGAACAGGAAAAGAAAGAAAAACATGTAGAACCAGGTAACTTTTAAAATTCCTCTATCCTCTTAATTTCAAGATATAAACTTGCAATTGAATAATGAAATGTGATCAAATGGTATAAAATGTTGAATTTTTTTCTTTTCTTGTTTGATACAGCAAAGTCACCAAAGAAGGAACATTCAGGTGAGTCAGACTGGGGTTGCTGGGGCCTTTCTACCTGATGTCCAAGGTTTATTAATGATGTACCCTCAGACGGGGGTAAGGGCCATGACTGGAAAGGACAGGAAACCCTTCCATCTTATGAGATGTCTTTTTTCCAAGTTCTTGTCATTACAGTTAACACCAGTGCCATGTTAGAAAATGGAGGCCAAATAGTACATTACACTCTTGATACTCAATGTGTGTTCTGTGAACCAGCAGCATTAGGAGCGCCTGAGAGGTTGTTAGAAATACAGAATCTCTGGTCCCACCCCAGATCTACTGAATCAGCATCTGCAACTTCCTAAGATCCCCAGTGCATTAGTAAAAGCAGTGTTTGAGAAGCGCTATTTTACAGTTTAGGGTAGAAAACAAAAACAAAAATAAAAACAAAACCTTTCTATTATAAGTGCATCTGACATTGCTTTGTTTTGAAAATATGAAATATTCAATTCCAGCAAATATTCTCTCTCTACTCAAAATGTTATTTAATGACACATCTTGAGTACTCAGGGGAGTTGCAATGAGAGTAGAAGTAGATTTTGTCTTCAGTCAATTTACATTCGAATGAGGGTAAAAAAGTGAACTGACAATCAGACAAGCAGAAAAACACATACACAAACAAACAGAAACTAAGAATGCAGTAGGTGTAGATACCAAATGATTTTCTTAAAGCTTTCTGGCATTTAACTTGCCCTATTTGTTGTTTCAAATGAAAATAAATGCAACTCCTGCTCAAGGAACTTTACTGATTTTGTGTGTGTGTGTGTGTGTGTGTGTGTGTAAGCTGTCATAACCTCATATAATGTCCATTAGTCACCCCTCCCATCATATTATATTTAAATGGAAATAGCATTTACATTGGCAATACATTAACAACTAGCAGCATTTGTTCTGAATTTTTTTTTTTTAAATCTGCTGCCTGACATTTTTTTTGTTGTTTTATTTTTTCCTGCGGCACGCGGGCCTCTCACTGCTGTGGCCTCTTCCGCTGCGGAGCACAGGCTCCGGACACGCAGGCCCAGCGGCCATGACTCACGGGCCCAGCCGCTCCGCGGCATGTGGGATCCTCCCGGACCGGGGCACGAACCCGTGTCCCCTGCCCCGACAGGCGGACTCTCAACCACTGCGCCACCAGGGAAGCCTGGCAATACATTAAAATAGCAATTGCAATATTATGTAAATAACCATGCAAATCTAGCTCAACTATACTCCCACCCCCGTCACAGACCACAGCAAACTGCAGATTCGAAACCACATTTCTTATTCTTCTTCCAGGTTTGTAAAAATTCCTCAGAAAACCCAAATCCATTTAGGAGTTTCTCCAGCTAGTTCCCATAGCATCATTTTCTTTTCTATATAAAAACACTTAACATACTCTTATAATCATATTACCTTTTCTTTTTTCTACTTTAAATAGTCAGAAATGAGAATATGAAGATTGTTTTTTATATCTTTATCCCAGAGTGCCTATCATAATGTCAGGAACATTTTAGGAACTTGGAAATGTTTGAGTGGATGAAAAGAGAAATATCAAATAGGGTAATCATATTTTTTAAAAAATATAAATATGAATGACTTTTAAATAATTTACAATATGAAATAATCACACATTTCACACTTCACATTAACATTGATACTATTTAACTTTGGGAAGGAACGAATGTTTTTGTCTACCTTACAGAGAACAGAGAACAGATTATGTGTTTGGGGGTAACATTCCCATAACTGGGCCATAACACATGTTCTCACATGTACATACGCAGAAAGCTGAAATAGAACATACATCAGAGAAACGTATAAACATGGGGAGACATAAAGAATGACTATGGGTCTAATCAGTTTTAAGAGGTTTTTTTTTTTTTTGGTTATATGATTTTATTTTTATTAAAAAGTTTTTTGATTGTGGTATTGTTGTTTTACAATGTTGTGTTAGTTTCTACTCTACAGCAAAGTAAAGTAGAGTTCCCTGTGCTATACAGCATGTTCTTATTAGTTATCCATTTTATACATATTAGTATATAGTGTATAGTCAATCTCAATCTCCCAATTCATCCCATCTGCCACCCCCTTCCACTTTCCCCCCTTGCTGTTCATACGTCTGTTCTCTACATCTGTGTCTCTATTTCTGCCTTGAAAACTGGTTCATCTGTACCATTTTTCTAGATTCCACATATATGCGTTAATATACGATATTTGTTTTTCTTCTTCTGACTTACTTCACTCTATATGACAGTCTCTAGGTCCATCCACATCTCTACAAATGACCCAGTTTCATTCCTTTTTATGGTTGAGTAATACTTCTTTGTATATATGTACCACATCTTCTTTATCCATTCATCTGTCGATGGGCATTTAGGTTGCTTCCATGACCTGGCTATTGTAAATAGAGCTTCAATGAGCATTGGGGTGCATGTGTCTTTTTGAATTGTGGTTTTCTCTGGGTATATGCCCAGTAGTGGGATTGCTAGGTCATATGGTAATTCTATTTTTAGTTTTTTAAGGAACCTCCGTACTGTTCTCCATAGTGGCTGTATCAGTTTACATTCCCACCAACAGTGCAAGAGGCTTCCCATTTCTCCACACCCCCTCCAGCATTTATTGTTTGTAGATTTTATTATGATGCCTATTCTAACCGGTGTGAGGTGATACCTCATTGTAGTTTTGATTTGCATTTCTCTAATAATTAGTGATGTTGAGCAACTTTTCATATGCCTCTTGGCCATCTGTATGTCTTCTTTGGAGAAATGTCTATTTAGGTCTTCCACCCATTTTTTGATTGGGTTGTTTCTGTTTTTTTAATATTGAGTTGCATGCGCTATTTATATATTTTGGAGATTAACCCTTTGTCCACTGATTTGTTTGCAAATATTTTCTGCCATTCTGAGGGTTGTCATTTTGTCTTGTTTATAGTTTCCTTTGCTGTGCAAAAGCTTTTAAGTTTCATTAGGTCCTATTTGTTTAGTTTTGTTTTTATTTCCATTACTCTAAGAGGTGGGTCAAAAAAGATCTTGCTGTGATTTATGTCCAAGAGTGTTCTTCCTATGTTTTCCTCTAAGAGTTTTATTATAATGTCTGGTCTTCCATTTAGGTCTTTAATCGATTTTGAGCTTATTTTTGTGTATGGTGTTAGGGAGTGTTCTAATTTTATTCTTTTACATGTGGCTGTCCAGTTTTCCCAGCACCGCTTATTGAAGAAACTGTCTTTTCTCCATTGTATATCCTTGCCTCCTTTGTCATAGATTAGTTGACCATAGGTGCGTGAGTTTATCATTGGGCTTTCTATCCTGTCCCATTGATCTATATTTCTGTTTTTGTGCCAGTACCATATTGTCTTGATTACTGTAGCTTTGTAGTATAGTATGAAGTCAGGGAGTCTGATTCCTCCAGCCCCGTTTTGCTTTCTCAAGATTGCTTTGGCTATTCGGGGTCTTTGTGTCTCCATACAAATTTTAAGATGATTTGTTCTAGTTCTGTAAAAAATGCCATTGGTAATTTGATAGGGATTGCATTGAATCTGTAGATTGCTTTGGGTAGTATAGTCATTTTCACAATATTGATTCTTCCAATCCAATAATATGGTATATCTCTCCATCTGTTTGTGTCATCTTTGATTTCTTTCATCACTGGCTTATAGTTTTCTGAGTACAGGTCTTTTACCTCCTTAGGTAGGTTTATTCCTAGGTATTTTATTCTTTTTGTTGCAATGGTGAATGGGATTGTTTCCTTAATTTCTCTTTCTGATCTTTCATTGTTAGTGTATAGGAATGTAAGAGATTTTTGTGCATTAATTTTGTATCCTGAAACGTTACCAAATTCATTGATTAGCTCTAGTAGTTTTCTGATGGCATCCTTACGATTATCTACCTATTGTATCATGTCATCTGCAAACAGTGACAGTTTTACTTCTTTTCCAATTTGTATTCCTTTTATTTCTTTTTATTCTCTGATTGCCATGGCTAGGACTTCCAAAACTATGTTGAATAATAGTGGTGAGAGTGGGCAACCTTGTCTTGCTCCTGATCTTAGAGGAAACGCTTTCAGTTTTTCACCATTGAGAATGATGTTTTGCTGTGGGTTTGTCGTATATGGCCTTTATTATGTTGAGGTAGGTTCCTTCTATGCCCACTTTCTGGAGAGTTTTTATCATAAATGGGTGTTGAATTTTTTCAAAAGCTTTTTCTGCATCTATTGAGATGATCATATGGTTTTTATTCTTCAGTTTGTTAATATGGTGTATCACTTTGATTTATTTGTGTATATTGAAGAATCCTTCCATCCCTGGGATAAATCCTACTTGATCTTTGTGTATAATCCTTTTAATGTGTTGTTGGATTCTGTTTGCTAGTCTTTTTTGAGGATTTTTGCATCCATATTCCACAGTGATATTGGTCTGTAATTTTCTTTTTTTGTAGTATCTTTGTCTGGTTTTGGTATCAGGGTGATGGTGGCCTCGTAGAATGAGTTTGGGAGTGTTCCTTACTCTGCAATTTTTGGAGGAGTTTGAGAAGGATGGCTGTTAGCTCCTCTCTAAATGTTTGATAGAATAGTTTTAAGAGTTTTAATAGCTAAACATTATTATCCAGTATTAAATTTGACAAAATACAATAATTTAAATTTCTTGAAATCATTATCTGTTCATTTCATGGTGTGATTACAGTGTAGCAACTTAGCTGTAATTCACTATGTTTTTAAAATTGAAACAATTGGATAATTTATCTATTCACTTCCTTCCTTTCATACCATTTTGTAGACTTTAAGAGAACTTCATTGGCATATATATAAAACCAATCAGATTCTTAAATAATTAAAAATGGAAAACAAAATAAATGAGTCATGAATGAGCATTCTGTGTTGGGAGAAGTTATATGAATAGCAGAAAAGAAATCTATGGTTCATGGCATATATTTAAAGTTTATCAAAGAAAATGGCACAGCGTTGTATTTTTTCTTCCTCAGACCTACATTTTTCTTTAGTTTCAAGGTTATAATATAATGTTTTTGAAAAAAAAAAACTATTTTAGAAAACTATTTTAGAGAGAGACCGAAGGAGACTTGTAACTGACTTAGACCTTATTATTTCTTGTCCTTAACAGCTCCAAGTGTAAAACAAGTTAAAGCAAGTATGTTGACTAAAACTTGAGAAAACAAAAAGCATATTTCAGCAGCTTACTCATTTAACTTCTGCTATAGACAGTGCTAATGCTAATATTTTAGGCTGACTTATCAAATGTTTCTTGCTCTGATTATTTGTTGTATTAAACTGATATGCATAATTACTGAACCTTGTCTTTTCTGTGAATCAATTCTTATTATAATTTATCTATAGAGCTTTCACTTGTAAATGTTAATTTGTCCAGGTCATAACCTCTTTTTTGAGTTGTTTATATTTTTGTTTCCCAGAATGATAAGTGATGTTTTCAGTTTCTTAAACACATTAGAAAATTTTCCTAGTGATTAATCACTTGATCAAACCAGGAGGCAACATAACTTGTCTAATATGAAAGTTATTGTGTCTTTAATGAAAAAGAAACCCCCAACAATTTTATTAAGTACTGCTCTTGCAATATCACAATTTTCTTTTAAGGCTTCTATCCTCAGATTTAGAATAAATATTGACTGACAACTATAGTATACCATGGCATTTGCATCAATAGTGGCTTTGACAATACGCTAAAGGATAAATGCTTTTTTCTTTGTTGGTATTTCTCAATTCAGTGAAGTATCTAACAGATGGCCATTCATGAAAATTTAGGCATAATGGCATATATTTGAGTTTAGAAAAAATATTCTTTTAGCTTCTCTAAGCTTTGTATATAAGATTTATGATCAAACCTCATTTCTGTGCATTATGTAAATATGTTTATATTTTCCTTTTGATTTAGAGTTGCATAAGTATTAATAATGGTACTAATACAAAAAACAAATGCATGTTTTATTTACTGTCAGGTTTTTTGAGACAGGGTATATCATTGGTGAATATATCAGAAAAAAATTGGAAAATATAATATTGAGTAGGTTGGTGTCTTTTAAAAAAAATTATAGTCAGAAATGTTTACATAGACATTGTAGACGTTAAGGAAAGGTGTAACATGAATCTAAAATTCCAGCTATATTTTCATGACAATTTTTAGCTGAATATAAGCTGATTAGAACTTCATATTACAGAGTATTTAGTATGCTAATACTTAGTCTGTAGAAATGCATAATCAAGAAAATACATAAACCAAAACTGATAATTTTGCAGAACTGGTAGAGGACTCTAGATTGAAGATTACTCTGAAAATGAAAATTTTCTTCCTAGAAAAATGTGACATTTAGATAAAAATATTCATTTGCAATAAAAAAAACCCTGTAAGTTCTGCTATCTATGAAACACTATCCAATCAAGTTTTGAAGAGATCAGCATCTTTTGCAGGAAATTAACAAATTTAGGTTGCCAAATCATCTTAGACCCAGTATAAAGGTTTCAAAAGAATTAATATTCAACTCCTTGTATGGTTGAACGATTTGGACTTGACATGGGCATTATCTCCCAGTACAAAAGTTAGAGATAATTCATAAATTGTTTAAAATCTCTGCTAACAATGTGACCATCCATTTCCCCAAATAAGAACTGGTTTTTTATTTTATTTTTTTGGTCTTGAAATCATACAACAGAAGAATATTTACATAGCTTTTATATACAGTGAGCTATTTATAAAGTTAATGCCTAAGGCATATCATTACAAATACTCTTGAAAATTCCTTATGTCACCCACATAGTAAGGACACATAGTTTTGTGTGTATAACCTGAATATTTAGGATATGATTTTACATTATCTTAAATTATGAGAGCAAATGAGAGAGTGAGATGTATAGTTTAATTAACATAAATTAAGTATGTGATACAATTTCATGGTATTGAATTAAAAAGGATAGGTGAAATTGACAGGACTAGAGCAAGTCCATGGAAAAAGTAAAAGGTAATTTGTTTTTAGCACTCAATTAAAGGAGATAAAAAGAATGTGAATTGAATTTGTGGTGTGGAACTGTTTGCTCTAGGTCTTAAGAAACCAAAATCACTGTAAGAAAAACACTAGAGGACACAGACTAGTTTGGGAACTGTATCAGTACAGGGTGGATGTTCTCATGGTACCATGAGCTTGAAGAAAAGGGAAGCCCTTCATGTTCAGTGATGTAGCAAGCACTACAGAGGGGCACCTAATGCCTCCACGTGTAAAGTTATTTGTCAGGGATTATGTGGATGGAGGAAGAGTGCCTTTGACCAACAGAGATGCCAAATCTAGATTTACTATTTCCTCAAGTCAACACAGATTCCTTTATATCATCCTGTGTACAGAAATGCCTCAACACACCCAGTTCTCCCTGCAGTCCACTGCACACACACTCCCTCACCCCCACTGCCACATTGGATAGAGACATAGGAGTTGATGATATGATTAGTCATTTCCAAGGAGGAGGAGGACCAAGACTCACAGGCATTTCAGAACTTTAACACTCCTCTTGGTGAATCAAGAGGGAATGTAGTAGACAATGCTTAGCAAATATATTTGACCACATCACCCTCTTTTTTCCAGAGAACACTTCAAGGACCAGGATTCCTCAAAACCTTGGGAAGCACTACCATACATTACTTCGTTCCTCATATCGAGGACCATAGGGCTTTGATCATGTATTCCATGTGCATGTTTGACCAGCCTGTGGTCAGTTTGAATTCTGAGTGTAAAAGACACCAAAGACCAGGTCAGGGGCCAAAGTCTAGCTATTTTTAATTGTGGGCCTAAATTTGAATTAAATGACAATGGTCAGGCATTTTTCATTCCTTGGTTTTAACACTACACTAGATTTTTGTGGTATGCTCAGCCACCAAGCCTGACTCTGCTTATCACCTTAACTACATTTCAATACCTAAATTTGTGAGTCACATATCTATCTCTTGATCTAGTAATATATGTCAGATCATTCAGGAGAAGCCAGTATGCAGAATTTAAAAATAAAACCCCTTTGGATTTATTTAGTTTTATGATGTTAGAAGACAATTTGGGGACAGCTTATGTTAGTTAGAAAGTGGCATGGCTTTTTTGACATAGTTTAAATATTCTGTCATGGAAATTGCTGGGGGGGAATATCTATGGGCCTGAGCTAGTAGATCTGATATCAGGGGTGTGTGTCTAGACCACAGGTTGGATGACATATATGACAGGTATCTCAGTTGTTTAGGGCAATCTGGGTTTATTCATATTATTCTGGAATAATTATTACTAACACCTTCTTTCACCTGCTTAGTTTGGATAATAAATTATATGATCACTACCCAAATCACAGATGATGCTGACTGAATGAACTCAAAATAGTACTGATACAATGCCAGGGGATGGTTTGGGGAGGTTTAAGTGCCAGGAAAACTAGACTGTGAGAAACCTGGGACTGACTTAGATGTTAGGCCAAGATGTGCTTCTTGTTCAATCCCACGTATGGAGCCAAGGTTGGTGTGCTGAGTGCCAGCACAAAATTGGAAAAATGTCATGGTTTGGAGCTTAAGAACATTTATCAAGTTTGGTTCAAAGAGATCCAAGCTGTATAGATGAGAACTTGCAGAAGCAGAATCTGAGTTCAGTTTGGACATTAGGAAGTAGAGAGGAGGAGGAGAGAATTTCAAATAGAAAATCAGGAATAAATTTTAATATTGTGAAAGTATAATAATGAGTACAGCATGAAGTATGACTATTGAGACAGGTACTTTGTGACCTGAGTCTTATTAATAAAACAGTGTCATGATACTGTGTTTTCAAGGGAGCATGGTATTGGTGCAGATCTAAACATGCTTTCCAATAGGACAAACAGGAACAAAAAGAGACCTAAAATGATTCCACTTGAGCAAAAATCTGACATAAGAAAAAGTAGCCATTTCAATAATTAGAGAATAGAGAGATTATCTTAAAGTGTTGCTGATGTAGTTGGTATTCATTGCCAAAATTAAAAGAATGTAATTTATTCCTACTTTGTACAATTCCAAAATATCAACTCCAGATGGTTCAGGGACTTAAATGGTAAAAATAAAACAAGCCATTAATTTAAAGAAAAAAGTATAGGAAGACATATGTATATATTTTCTTGAAGTATGGTTGGATCACAAAAATTATATATATAAATTCAAGCTGTAAATAAAAAATCTAATGTACTAAAATGATTACAGTAAAATTTAAAACTCATCAATAGATGCCGTAAAGAGATAAAAGACAAGTTACAATTTTGGAAAAGGTATTTGTAGCATATATAAGTAACTAGAGGTTAGTAATGAAAAATAAATAACTCTAAAAAATAAAAAAACAAAAAGAGAAAGAACTTGATAGACTAATGCATAGAAAAAATGAGCAAAAGATATGTTAGGATCAAAAAGAAAACAAAACAAGACACAAATTGCCTATAGACATATCAAAAATATTTAACCTCTTAGTAATAATGAAAATGTACTTAAAACCACAATACTATTTTACATATATCAAACTGACAAAAAATGGAGAAAAATGTTCATTCTGGTGATGGTGATGATATAAAGCAATAGAAACTCTCACATACAGTGTTACTGTGAGTGTAAAATTTGGGGGAAAAATATGGCTTTTAACTAGAGAAGTTAAACAGAGACACATGCTATGTCTTAGCAATTTCACTTCTAAGAAAATTCTTGCACATTGCACCAGGATTCATATACAGGAATATTCATAGCAGCGTTATTTTATAATAACACATACAGAACATGACCTAGTGTCCATTGGCGGGAAAATGGATACATAATTTGTAGAATATGTATAAGTGGAATACTATACAGCAGTTAAATCAATCAACTACAGTTCCTCATATCAACGTGGCTTGTATAAAAATTAAACAATTTATTTAAGTAAACAATGAATCAAATAGGGCAGTGACAAAACCGATAAATGATGAGGGGCACTCCACCACTGGGGGGTAGGGCAAAGGTTTTTATAGACAATACATGGAAGCAAAGCAAAAATATATATTTAACTGACTATAATATATATTGTCTTATTTGGGAAAATTAGTTATTTGTCTTAATAACTAAATAATTTAGTTGATAATGATAATGACTAATGATAATTGCTTTTGAGTATCACTCAGATTTGAGATAAATCTAGTTGACCCTGGCTTTGGTTTGTTTAGGTAGACCACGAAAGGCACTAAAGCTACCCAAGTCTAATGGCCATCTTGTTAAACAATTTTAACAGAGTCTCAGCACACGTTTTAAAGGAAGCAAATTATAAGAATTAAAAAGTATTGGGGGGCTTCCCTGGTGGTGCAGTGGTTGAGAGTCCGCCTGCCCATGCAGGGGACACTGGTTCGTGCCCCAACACGCCGCGGAGTGGCTGGGCCCGTGAGCCATGGCCGCTGAGCCTGCGCGGCCGGAGCCTGTACTCCGCAATGGTAGAGGCCACAACAGTGAAAGGCCCGTGTACCGCAAAAAAAAAAAAAAAAAATTAATGGGCTTCCCTGGTGGCGCAGTGGTTGAGAGTCCGCCTGCCGATGCAGGGGACACGGGTTTGTGCCCCGGTCCGGGAGGATCCCACATGCCGCTGAGCAGCTGAGCCCGTGAGCCATGGCCACTGAGCTTGTGCGTCCGGAGCCTGTGCTCCGCAACGGGAGAGGCCACAACAGTGCGAGGCCCGCGTACCAAAGAAAAAAAAAGAATTAAAAAGTATAAGTCAATTTATATAGTTATATCACTAAACAATATAATTCAATCTGTAAAAAACGGCCTTAGCTTTGTTCAGAGATAAATTCATGTAATAAAAAATGTACAGGAAAATAAATTATTAATACAAAATATAGGACAGTGATAATTCTGAGATGAAGAGAGAGGTATGCAGTGGTAATGGACAAGTAAGAGGTTTCAAAGTCTTTGGTGATATTTTATTACTTAAGTTTACAGGGGGTTACAAAGATGTGCATTTTTTATTGCCATTCATTAAAATATGTACATATGTTATCACATATGTTATACACCTTTATGCCTTTCATTTATATTATATCTTTCACAATTAAACAATCTTAAAAAATAGAGAATGAGGAGATAGAAGTGGTGACACTGAGCATAGCAGCTCTCTGGAGACCATGGTGGACCACAGAGAGTTGAGGTAGGGGATACGTAGGAGTGAAGGCCGTGGTGGTCTGAAGTTATAAACGGTGACATTTTGTGTCTCTGAGCTGAAGTGAAAGCATCAGTGAAGTGGAAAGCAGATGAAGTAGGAGAGAGGCAGAACTTGCAAGAGTAACATCATTGTCTATGCAAAAGGAGTTGGGATGCAGGGCAAATCTGGAGGAATTGGTATTAAATAGGGAACGATGATCCTATGGGTCTGGAAAGAAGACGAATGGTGCTGTTGTGTGCTGGTGAGGTGGTGAAAAGATGAGATAGCCTAGTCTGCTTCTAGTTTCTCTATGAAGATCCCATCAGCAACTTGCTTTTATGTTACAGGATGTTGGAAGTTTGAGAAAGGAGGGGTATTCATGAACCACTCGTCTAGAAAGATGAGAAAGTAACTTCACTAGGTCTGTGGTATATTGCTGATCAGTGCTGAGCACTCTGTTACACACTGTGACTAGACATTTGAAGTCAGATCTGCAGCAGATGGGGGCCTTCCTCCAGTTTGGATGGCGGCTCAGGTGGCAGGCATAGAGTAGGTTTGGTGTTTTGGCACATGTAGTGGATAGAATTGCATCCCCTCAAAATATATGTTGAAATCCTAACTAGTACAGTACCTGTGAATGCAAGCTTATTTCAAAAAATGGTCTTTAGTGGTGTAATCATGGTAATATTAGGCTATACTGGATTAGAATGGGCCCTAAATCCAATGACTGATGCCCTTTTAAGGAGAGGGAGATTTAGAGACACAGACACATTCAGAAGGGAGGCAGCTGTATGAACATAATGGGAGAAATTGGAGTGGTGCAGCTACAGGCCAAGGAATGCCAAAGATTGCTGGCAACCAACAGAAGCTAGGAAGAGGCAAGGAAGGATTCTTCCCAAGAGCCTTCAGAGCAAGTTTCAGAGGGCCTTGGCAACACTTTAATGCTGGACTTCTAGCCTCCAGAACTGTGAAAGAATAAATTTCTGTTGTTTTTAGCCACCTAATAACTTAAAGGCTGCTCTAGAAACTTAATATACCAGATGACTATGAAAACAAACAATAAGTGAATGACTTAACCATGGCTTATTTAAGTATAAGCTTGAAAGAAGAAAAGTGAGGACATAAGGGAGATCTGGAGCACGGAGAAACTGGTAAGGTCAAAGGAATGAAAGTATTGATGGGGTCAGAAACTACTTAGAGGAGGTTCTTGAGTAAGTGAACTATAACAGGAAGAGTGGTGCCAGGGAATAGGAATTTTGAAATCAAAGTCTTGGCAGCAAAGAAAAAGTCCAAGATACTTTTTCTTGGTAGTGATCAGAGAAGTGGGGTCTCCAGTTTTCAAAAGTGAGAAGGTCAAGGAAATGAGAGATCCCATGGTCGTATGGACTGTGTCTATAAGTGACTCCCAACCCTGGTTAAATAATAGAGTATCTTGACAAGCTTACAAATAGACAAACAGCCAGGCCTACCTTATCCCAGACTCATTAACTCAGAATCTCAAAGCTCTGTAGTCCTCCCCAGATCTGCTACATCTGAATCTATAAACTCTCCAGCTTAGTCTAGTGTGAAGCCTGGGTTGAGAGTGGTTCCTAATGAAAAATCACAGTAGTAATAGTGGAGCAGATAACTATGTATAGAAATATTCAATAATTAATGGGACACAGGCATAATGCTGGTTAATGGCAGCAATAGAGCAAGACAGAGCCGGGTGCAACCTGATACTGTGGACTTCAGAAGAACTGAGATTTGGAGGAAGCAAGGAGATAACAATCCATCAGAAGTAATAAGAAGTAAGGAGAAGTCATAAACAGCATTTATTAATTTCGTTAAAAAGAAGTAAATATACATCATTTCCAGACCCTTTGGTATATAGGGGAAAAATAAACTGTCTCTATTTTGGAAAACCATTTGTAGGGGATGTAGTGTCCTTAGGGAACTAGTTTGGTTAAAGGAAGAAAGTAAAGTGCACATTTTGAGAAGAGGCTGAGCATTTAGGGATGTGTGCTATGATAGAGATGACTCAGTGGAAGGACTTTGGAAAAGAGTCTGTTTTTAGGAGAAACACAAAGCCATATAGACTGTTTTCTGCTGGAAGTCTAGGCTCATGGTAGTACCTGAGGTGAACAAGGTTGGGGATTTCAGGGACATTAGTCCTGATTGTGTATTAGGGGAAGTGTGGTAACTAGTTTCCAAAATATGGCCAAGACCAGCAGCATAAGCATCACCTGGGAACTGGCTAGAAATGTAAATTCTTAGGATGTGCCCCAGACCTACTGAATCAGGCCCATATCTGTGTTTTAACAGCCCTCCTGAGTGATGCATGCCAATTTTGAGAACCACTGGTCTAAAGTCTTTCCTCAAAGCTATATAACAGCCAGGGATCTGCTTAGTCCTGGAGCTCCAGGTCTTGAAACAGCCTGAAGAAGTCTTATTTACATGACTTCTTGCCTGGGCTCAAATTGTGAAGCTTGTGGTATCTAATATTGTGAAATTAAAACCTGAAAGTGATGTGAAGGTCTTCTGACATCTGATCTCTCTCACAGCCCAAGGTCTATGGCACAGGGAGGACAAGGGGGCATGAAGACCCCTGTTTACTGGTTGTTCCTAGAGCCTCAGCTGCTGAGTGAGTGCATATGAGTAACAGGGATTATACACATGTACTAGTAAGAATAAAACTAAAACTACAAATACAGGTGTCCAAGGGCAACAGCCTTGAATAATCAAAAGCTAATAAAATGAGTAAATAAACTTTGTAAAAATTTACCAGCTCATTGTCATTTTCTAATTTTCGTATGGATCAAAGAAACTTCCACTTTAATTAGCCTTGATTTGAGGTCTAACATTTTGCACTAGGACCAGCATTTCAGATTATATTTTTGGAAGAGCTCTCCTATCTTCCTGTCTTCTACACTAGATATTCAGAGAAACTCCAGAAGCCATTTTGGCCTTTAAAAATTTTTTTCTTTTTCTCTCTCTTCAAAGCAATATTCAAATGGAATTTTCTGAAACATTATGGCTAATATTTTATAATATAAAGCAAATTGATTGAGGTCAATTATGGCTTGCCATCCCCATAGTTAAAGGCTAAACAAAGAAGGCCTTTCAAGTGCTCTTCCCCACAATTTATGCATCATTTAAGATTTGACTATAAACTAATAAATTAATATTCCAGTGTAATTCTGTGGAATAAGCCACCTTTTTTATGGTCACTCCTTATATAAGCATAAAATTTAGTACCACCAGAATTGTATCTTGAAAGAGAATTTCTGCATTGTTATTTAAGGAAGTTCATTAGTTACAAAAAAATTCAAGCTTATTCTAGCGTGGTTTTCTCTGCTGCTTGCTTTGCTCTCAGGTGCCACATACGTTTTATCCTTTGGGCAGTTTTAGTCTTGTCTGACTTAGAATACTATAAGATATTGACCTCACATATCTGATATCCGTTTCTCATTCTTCAATCTCTGAATTTACAGAAACTGAACGAGCCAAAGAAGAGGTTGGTGCTGCCTCAACTAAAAAAGGTAAGTGCAGCTTAAAGAAAAAGATGTCATGACTATAACTTCTTTATGCTAAGGTTTCTAACTCAATGTATTGTTTAGTGCTTATAGAAGAGCTCTATTTATTGATTTTACTATTTCACTGATATGGAAACCCACTTTTAGTTTTTGAAAAATTGAAGAAATGATGCTGTGTAAGCTCAATGGGATCCCAGTCATCGGGAGAGCATTCAAATTCAATATACTGATCTATAAGGTTAGCGTTTGAGCAAACGAAATTTTGACTAGTACAACTTACATGAACAATGTTTGCTTTGTGCAAGAATAGTATCAAATTTAAGTTTTCAAAGCTATGCCTCTTGTCATGTCTAATCAGAAGCAACTATTATGTGAATATTGACTCCTCTCAGTAGACACTCTAAAGAATATCTTTAAGAACATTAATACATGTTAAAAATACTCAATATGATGAAACATTTACATATTCTCTATTCAAAACAAACTGGAACAATTTTGAAATTTGTGATTCTGTTTTACACATAGAAATGAAATCAGTAACGTATTTAATGTCTTTGGAAGAATCTCAAGACACAGTTTAACAACCCTATCCTCAACATACACTCACACACACACACACACACACACACACACACACACACACACACACAACAGGAGTACCTTTTAACATACATGCCACTAAAATGGCATAACATTTTTCTCCTTAAAAAATCTCTTATTGCATATGCTCTATAAGAGAATATATATCAGGACTGTAGGGAGTTATAAAATATATATGATACATATCCACATTCTCAATCCCAAGCAACATATATATTGATATAAATGAATACATGGATATAAATTTATATATTAGTTAATAAAGTAAAATATAAATTAATATACATTAGTTATATAAGTTAATGCATAAATTAGTACACATGTATGTCTAATGAAAGACAAAAAATTAAATGATACTTAAAGGAAAATATAAACTATACTATAAGATAATACCTAATTAGAAGCAATTGAATTATTGAGATTAATTGCTTCCCTTTTTCAAATATAGCTCTATTTATTACTCTGAATTTATAGTAGATAGGAATAAAATCTATCTCCTAGATAGTTCTTTTCTTAGTAATGTAATATGTGTGATGTCATTTTTGAAGTAAGTTATCACGATACGTGTTTCATTGACATCTTTTACTAGGTATCAGTTTTTCCATAAGTGGCAGAGCCATGAATTTATCGGAAGTCCATATTAATATATCTCATTCTTTTATGGTGTCTTATTTTGAAATCAATTTTACTTGTCAACATTAAATGGAATGTGTGGGTAAAACTTGGGTGCTTCAGGATGGATAATGCCATGGTATCAATCACAAGACTAAGAGTCTAAATATAGATTCAGAGGAAATCATAATCTAGGCATGGATACAGGGTATATAGATCCAGTAAGTGAATATAAGGTCAGGACATCTATATGTGTTGAAAGCAAGAACAAAAGTGAGACAAAATTGTGTTCAAAATCTTCAGCCATGGGTGAGACCAGTGGATGTCCAAATAGCAGTATATGGGTTTCATCTGGAATTAGATTTCAGATACTGAGGATTCAGGGAATCCTTGATTATGAAGACGGTCTGGAGACAGAATTAAAAAGGAAAGATTCAATAACTAGTAACTGACCCATGCACAGACTCTGAATCACTTGGAGCCTAGATATTAGGGCAGAAATACAAGCACACATAATTTGGAGTTTAATCAAGTCAAATTGGAGTGAGCAGAGATACTGAATTGATATTGAACCATCAGTTAGTGAATTCACTGGAATATTCAACCAAGAATGGTTTCTGAGTTTAGAGTAAGGCCAGACATATTGGTTGGGATTAAGTAGACCTGATTGCTAGGCTTAGATAAGTGAAATATAAGGAGAGAACGTTTTATGAAATTAAACTATTGGCATTGCTTACTTTGACTCTAGTTAGTCTTAGATCTCATACCTCAATCATTAATTTAAATATGACTCTGCATATTAGGTTTCCTCTCAACTGTAGAATGAACAGAAACAAGTGTTCCTTCCAAAGCCATCATAAATATTTTGAAACTCAGGTAGAGCTTTACCAATTTGACAAGTTACATATAAAAGTCAAAGGAGACGCTTCTCCTTTGTCAAGTAGTTTTCATTTCTCCTCCTCCTCACTGACAATCAATCACACATGAAAATATATATTACTTCATCATACATTTAGTAACCAGTCCCTAATCTCCACAAAACTCAGTATATGTTACAAGATGTCCACCTTTTAGTCCCTTTTAAGTAAGTAGAATAAGGTAGTGATTTGGGTTTTCTTTATTTGTTTTTAAGATACTGGAAATTGTTGTTCTACACTGAGGCTTGAATTAGGAACCATGTGTGCAATGTTAAGTGGGAATTACTGATTTTCTGATTGTTTTAAAATTTTCAAAGTTAAAAGATAATTTAATATTTTAAATTAATTACAGTGTGCCAATTTATATCTAGTATAATTATTTGTTCTTAAGCCTGCTTTTAAGTCATATTTTCTTTGGAGATATATAGTATTTAATCATCAATATGATAATCCTCCTACTGTTTTATATTTGATTTGCAGCTTTCAAATCATTTTCACTTTCATTCAACATATATTTATGGATCACATACTATGTGAAAACTTAAGGAAATATTCAGATGTTAATACTATTCTTGAGCAATTAAAGATAGGGAAAAGTATGAATCTTTATTGAGTCCCTGAATTGTTTGGACCTCATTTTTTGCTATCAGCTAAAGGTTTTCCATATAATCATAGTTCATGTTTGAAAGCCAACAGGGTAAAGAGATAAATACAGATAAAGAGCCGTAGGAGTTTAAGAATTATTCTTACCTGAGGAAAAGCAAAACATTTATTATACAAGGTGACTTTAGAGTCAAGCCTTAAATAACAGGTAGAATTTTTTTATGTAATAATTAGTTGGAAGGGTATCTTGGGCATAGGTAACAGAGGAAGACAAAGTGGTGGGAAATTGCAGGGTGTGTATGAGGAATAAAAAGAGTCTCAAAAACACAGTATGAATTAGTACAACCTGTGCTAATAATTCAGTAAAGGGGCCTGATTTTAAAATTGGACTCTACTGCATGGGCAATAGGGAGTCAATGAAAAATTGTAAGTATAGGAAATAACACTCAGGTATTTGCTTTAGGAAAGGGCAGGATAGTTAGGAAGCTTTGGCAATAATGTAGGCAACGTGCATTAGGACCTGATATTAGTTATGAGATTGGAAAGAGGGGATATTTTATAAGCACTATTATAAAGTAGATTCAGTGGAATTTGACAATCAACCAGCTTTGGAAGAGGAAAAGTCAGAAATTATTTAATGACAATAATAAGTTTTCAGACTGGGTGCTAGAAGAATATTGTTGGTATTTATCATAAAAATGAAGAAGAAAGATAATAGTTTGGTGAGAGAAGACAAGATTAATTTTAGGCATATTTAAATTATAGTACTGTGGCACATGCAAGTAGCAAGTAGGTGGCTCTAAATGTCAAACTAGAGCTCCAGAGAGTGACGAAACTGGAGATATATCTGTGGGTGTCCTCTGCGTGGGTTAATGGTGGAAACAGTAAGAATCCATGAGCTTTTCATGGATTCTGTTCTCGAGAGAGGGCAGGTCTGGGATGTTCTCTATTCTTGAGAGAGGACAGGTCTGGGATGGAATGCTAGAGAACATTTGCAGGAAGAAAAGCAAGGAGAGTCAAAGAGAAAAAGCAGAAAATAGTGACTAGAAAGATCAGAGGTTAAAAAAATGTAATTGTTATAATTTCATAGTAACCAAGGAAAATAAACCCTTTCAGTGACAAGGTGGTTGTCACCAAGTCATTGGATTTGTCAACTAGAGAATTATTAATGATTTTCAAAAGAGAATTTTCTGGGGAGTGGCACAACTAAAAGCTAAATGATGACAAATTGATTGAGGGATGATAAAGTGAAAGATACAGGCACTGATGCTGAAGAATATTGGTTAGGAATAAAACGATAAATAGGATAGTAGCTTGAGGTTCTTGTTTAGTCTATATCCATTTCTATTTTAATCTCCGAGGTAAAGTGTTTATCCTCCTCTTCAAGACCAGTCTCTCCATTTGGGTCCTTCTTGATCAGTCATCCATGCTATTTGGTGGCATTATGTTCTTTCTCCTTATTGACTTTTTTTTTTTTTTTTTTTTTTTCC